GTAGAAATAAGAGAAACCAGCAGAAAGAATAATCAATACCAGTAAGAATTCTACAATTACTGCAACTGACAATGTAATGAGCATTAAATAATGTTAGGGAGCTGTGTCTCATTAAAAAATTACTCTGTGTTGAACATGTGGTTATGCGTACTAAATTCTAGACTATTTACCTGTATCAAAGAAGAAACAGGATTGAGTTATCTTAATTTCATGTAAAACTAGTTTCAAGAAGTGTACTAATCAATACAGTCTAGAACTGAAAAGAGAAAAAAAACCATTCCTTTTGAGATGGTTACGATACCACAGGATGAAAACTTATTATTTATAGATCCTCATTAGCACACATAAAGAATGAAGTCACCAGTCAGAAATTTATACTACTTTCGCCTAAGAACTTGCCCAGTCTTCTTGGCAGTGAATGCACTGAAATTCTATTCACAATTTTACATCTCTAAATAAATAATTTTGTAGCTATTTGAGAACAGCGGGAACGTTGTCTGTATTTGCTACCATCCATGAAGTACAAACACTGCCTACAGAACTCTGGTGAGCTTTTGCCACATGTCTTTCAAAAAATTTTGAATCTAAAATCATCAATGTTGAAGATCAAAAAAAAAAAACAACAACAAAAAACAACCTCTCCTAAAATGCATTTTTACAGTACAAAGAATGGTGTATTGAGCGATAACTTTTCAAGCATTTACTTTGACAACTCAAGAATTACTAAAAGCACTTTCTCTTAAGATTGCCTTAAATAGTATCTTCACTGTCCAAATAAGTGGTAAAGTATGGTGATAACAGCTTTCAGGAATTAATGCCATAACATAAAAACTCATAAAAACTATTAATCAGTGAGATCCAGTAATGCAATTCACATGTCTGGTACATGAATAATTGCTGATGTAGATATACATGAGTGATGTGCTCACTGGAACTGAAAAACTGAACAGACTTTGAAAGCAGAAGTGATTCCAACACTTTCCTGAACAGTATTATTTAATTCCTGGCATGAATAATTTCTTTTGTTCTCCAAGATTCGCATGGACATAATTAGATGAAAAAGTTTTGTAGAGAAGATGAAATATGACACTCTTAGGATAACCTTATCATGGTCTAACTGTCCTGTAACTGACAAGTAGTATTTAAAGAATACATTCAGTTCATTACCAATCATTTGACTTCACCATTTTAAGCTGTAAGATCTGAAGGTATAATTCAACTGTCTTGCAATAGCTCTCAAAGATGGACCATGACTGTTTTACCTCCTATTACTACCAGAGCAATGTGCTCACATTCTGAGAACAGCAACCACAAATAGCTCTAGAGATATTAAAGAAAAAAAATCAGACATCGGGATTCTATATAGTATATGTAGATGATGAAAGACAGTAATGCAGAATAACACAGAAACCATATGTACCCAACCTTAATTTCCCAATGCTATGTGCCTGAGTGAACCAAGTAAAATTAAAAAAATCGTTTTGTTTTTTTTGTGTTTTTGTGTGTGTGTGTTTTGGTTTTTTTTTAAATCAAGGAAAAGAAACAAGGATATAAAACATTATTGGGGAATATATTAAGCTGTTTTAAGAATGTGACAAGCTATTATTTGAGAAAAACACACAAGCTAGGGTAGTTAAGTGCATCTTACTAACTTTTCAAATATCAAAAGAAAACTACTCTCTCTCTGAAAAGAGTGTTGATAAGTTAATAGCAGCTTCTCTTTAAGATGCTGCAGGAAACAAAATTACCAGGAGACAAAGAAATCTGCTTTCTATGTCCTTCTTATTCTTGGAATCTCCAGTGTTAAATTTGCATGCAATGTAGAAGTGTTGGAGAGAGAGACTGAAGTTTTAGGGTTTTCTGTTCATGTATTAATTCTGTAAACATAAATATTGACTCATCTGAGAGAAATACTTAGTCAACACATAGAAAAGTGGCAGATAGCTGTTCACTTTTTTCACTCTTGAAAATGAAGCTGTTGCCCCTAAAACTCCTGGGCCAGATTTATAAGATAGAAACTAAAGTGTATTCTTTCAACTAAACATATATTTTTTCAAAATGACTAAAATGCTTTTGCAATAGCTTGATCACTACAGATGAAAAGCTGATTTCCTTGGACATTTTTACCATGAAGCTGCCTGAGTCAGCACTGCACCAATTTTTCCAGGAGGTACAATTTTCAACCAGGAAAAAAGCATATGTTCAAGGAAAAGCACAGTATTTATCTATCTTTCAGTTTCGGAATTTTTCTGCATTTTGTTTAAAATTTATACATCCATATTATTTGGAAACTAGCCATTTTTCTGAGATAAAATTAATTTAGAGAAACTGTTTTAATTGAAATGATACACCTGTGATGATATGACCTGCAGTTCTTGGGGTAAGAAATGAGGTCAAGAGCTGTCCAGCAGCCCTACAGTGCAAGAGTAAATGCTCCTCCTCTCTTCTCATCCTCACTTGCTGCCAGTTCTCAAACAACATTCTAGGAAAGAAGCAAAACAAAGTAGCACCAAGAGTTAAAACCTTCAGAGAGTGAATTGCCACTGAGATCTGTTCTTTTATCCACAAACCTCAACAGCGTGAAGTTGGTGGGAAGTGAGAGACTGTAAACCTGCTGTTTTTAAGAATTTGCAAAGTTGTGAAAAAATATGTTTGGAGAAACAGGGAAGAGTCGCTAAGAGTGAGAAGCCTAGGACACCAAAAGGTTGTTATTGTCCTGAAGTTCCTTGGAGCTGAATAAAGCAGTACAGCAGATTTTGAGAGTTCAGCGCAACATCGACGAGAAAGTCCCTGCTGGCTCTCACTGTGGCTGTCTGCCACACTGGGAGCCATTCTCCATGGCAGGCTGGTGTCAGAAGCAAGCTGTGCTCTCATAGGATACCTCTCAGAGCCAACACATAGTCTGGCACAAGTGAAGAGGTACTCAGTCAAGGTTGCTGGCTTGCTGGTCAGGTTTAACATCAGTCAACGTATTTACGGTATCTCTGAAGATAGCAAGAAGACAACACATACTATAAAACATAAAATAATGTACTGAGAGTTTAAAAGCTTAAGTTAATAGGATATGACAATTATTTTAAGAGAAGGAAGTCTTTATCATGAAATTATGACACAATTCATTATGAGAGAGAATTTACTCCAGTTCCTAGTTAGTACTGGATTCAAAAGCGTGATTTAAATTACAATCATCCACAGTATGTTAGAAACGGTTGCAGAACTAGGAAAACAGAGGATGAGTGAGTGACATTAAAATAAAAGCAGAAAATTGTACTTCATACAGTAAGCTCTGTCCATGATTTGTGAACCCTCACCATGGATCTTACATTTGTAGTCAAGTCTTTGTTCTTAATCTGTGAAAAAGTGACAAAAAGGTTTCTGTAAACTAATAACCAAATATTCTTCCAGTAACAAAAGTTCAGCAGAGTAGGAAACAACAACTACAACACACTGCAGTCTGGTAATCACATACTGATCCAATGTCCTTTTTTAGGTTAGCTGCAAACTTGCGATTCAAATAAGAGACTTGTAAAATTTCTTAACTCCTTTGATTCAGTGTTTGTTGGGCATAGCTCAACATTCAGCCATTAGTCTCTCTGAGCCTCAGTAACGCACTGCTTGCCTTTTCCCCCCCCCTTTTTTTTTGTTATTACCTACCTTCCACGGGTTCTGCAAAAATTACCATATATAACATTAGGGATTTGTTTTAGTGCTGAATTTGATACTTAACACAGCATTTCCAAACAGTAATATACCTATAAAATGAGGTGATGGAGTAAAGATTAAGTAAGATTTAGGACCTTTCTTTTTTTTTGCTGTCTGTTTCTTTTTTGTTTTTTGGGGAGGGATTTTGTTTTGGTTTGGTTTTTGTTTTGTTTTTTGTAAGGAGGGAGAGGGATTTGAGTAAGCAAAGTAAGAAAAAGCTGGATGCAGGTACTGACATCAGTTTTTGGGCTGGTATGTTGAACTGAATCAGATCATGAAGGAGTCAGATAATATTTTCTCCCCATTCCTTACTTTTCTTCTTAATTTTTCAGACTGATGCATATTTAGGAATAAAATCTAGGCAGGTGGGCAGGACAATGTGACAAAAATGCCAGGCATAAAAGCAAGTGGACAGGAATGCAAAAGAGCAAGTATCAGTAAGTAAGCAGACTCAAAGAGCAGCAAGGGGACACTATAATCAAGAAGCATGTGAAAGGCAGGAGGAAAATGCCAGACATTCAGCAAGTTGATAAAGCAGTATCAAACAGCAGGTGTGCCAAGCAGCAGAAGAACAACTCCGCAGTCAGCAGATGCACTCAGCAGGAAGGTGATGTCAGGCACTCCAAGTGGGAGACAGGGCAGTGGAAAACCATTGCCCACAAGTAATCAGATAGAAGGGACAATAAGGAGGCAGTACATGCCATTCAGCAGATGGGCAGGGCAGGGGGTATTCAGTGTCTAGCAATTAGCTAGTCAAGAAGTAATGCCAGACAGTCAGGCAAAGGGCCAAGATTTTGGGAGGACAATGTCACACAGCCAGCAGTACAGAGAAGAGAACTAGTGAGTGCCAGGCAGTCCCCAGACAGGCAAGGTAGCAGAAGACCAATGCCCATGAATAATTGGATGCAGCTGTCAGCAAGGGTAAAACATAAGCCTGTTAGCTAACTGACAAGGCAGCAGGGTGACAGTACTTTTGCAATAACTTAAGGTGCCATGAGTGAAAAAGTCCCAAGAATCTAGATGCTCACCCTCTGATAATGTGATTAGATCAACAGAGTGAACCATGAAAATCCACGGGAGAATAGCACACAAATGGAAACAGCAGATGAGTCTGACCCTAGCACTTGGGGAGGCCGTGGGACCTTCCTATAAAACAAAAATATGAGAATCCACAAGAAAATCAAACAAATGGGAAAAATGCATCTAAGAGCTATTTCTGATGATGATTTAAAAAGCAAAAAAATACTAGCAAAGAATTAGTTTGGAAATGATTGGGTGGGATTGAAGATGTTGCTTACCCCTCTCTGGAGCCCACATAATGGGAATGTTGGGAATTTCTGCAGCAGAAAAACAGAAGAGAAAAGGGATTTCTAACTCCCAGTTCAAGGAAACCATGTAAATTTAGGACTGGGTAACCTCTTTGGGCAAAAAATAAAAATTCACCTGATTCTTTGTCCATCCCCAGATACATGCCTTTACTGAGGTTTGTGAAAAATTTAAGAAGCCCACATTCACTTTCATCTCATGACATCCCACCCCTATTTCCCCAAATCACACTTACCTCTAGCACAACGTGTGTAAGAGGGGAAAGGGAATAGTCTTGTGAGCTCATTCCCATATCCACCGGAAAATAGCTTGTGAAGATGACGAGGAGTACCCATTAGCCAGTGTTGGCCATTTGTGAGATAAACTGAACAAGTTATCAACTGTTACTCATTACTAGCGTAGGCTCGTGTTTGAATTTGGCCTAGATAAATTCATACTCTACAGAATAGCTTTAGTCTTTTAAGTTTTGTGGGATAGTCTATGGCAAGAGTTGCAAAAATCCAACATATGATGCACAGAGCTCTCTTACTAAACATGGCTGCTTTTGTAATCCAATTCTTTTTCAGAAACATAATGAACTCTAGAATGTAAGAACTGAGAAAACAGCAGTAATGAAATTTGGTAATTTAACTCATCTGTCATTTCAGTCATGGATTGTCTTCCTAGTCACCAAGAGGAAAGCAAACAGGAATCAAACTTTGCTAGCAATTTCTGTTCTCTTAGAAGCCTATATTATGTGTGTACTTAACTGCCTATTCTATTAACTTCTAATACTAATACTGAAAACCTACACTCAATCTGATCAGGGAAGAACACACAACAAGAAGCAAACTCCACCCTCTTGTGCAAACTGTGAAAAAGCTCAGACACAATAAAGAAATCATTAGTACTAACGTGCGCAGCTGAATTATTAATTGGAAAGGTCACCGAAACAGTACAGCTACATATTCACAAGCAACAAAGTTTTTGAGAAATACATTACAGTAATAACAGGCTTCATTATTCATACTGATCCTCTGGGTACCAGCCATTCATTTGCCTCCCAGCCAAGTAAGGCACAGGAATAGTAGAGATTAATATAACCTTAGATGTAGAAATCACAGAATAGAAATTTCTTCCATATCAAAACTTCCCTGTATCAAACACTACTATCTGGGCATGGAATGGAGTAGCAGAAAAATTAAGCAGAAGAGGTGAAGAGATTTAAATTATATGACTAGTAAAGGCATAAACTAGCCAGGAGCAAAATAGTATAAATGACTGAGGAAGAGCAGGCAGTGATACTACAAAGCAGAAGGTATTTTAGAGCACATAAGCACATCTGGCAGTTTTACCAACTCCTGATTTTCTGGCTAGCAGCCGCTAGAGTTAGCTGAACTGCATTAAGAGCAAAATTGCTGTCATCTTATCTCCAAAGGTAGACCTTTCAAGGCTCAATGAAAATGAACTATCACAAACTGATCTTAGAGAACCACTGTGGAATGAAAAACTGTACTTTCTACATCCAGTAGAAGTTTAAAAATCAGTAATAATTAGAACACAGCAGATTATGCCCCTCACTACCGATTTTGGTATTCACCCTACAAAACAATTGGGAAAAAGAACACATGCATAAGCATGAAGTGCGAGGAAGCTGAAGTAACAGCAAATAGTCTGAACTAAGGTTAAAAACGTACTATTTTCTAACCGATATTTGATAAGACTTCTGAGTGACTTTATAGTCATGTTTTTCTCTCCAAATACTTTTAATTAACACTTTGCTGAAGAAGCTGCATTGTTCCATGCGGTAGGAATGTGCAGAAGCATGTACAGAGTTATCATCCAGTTCAGTTTTGATTAGTGGCTGAAAGTGCTCCTGCACAACAGGCAAGGAGCAAATGAGAAATTTTCCACTGTTCAATAAGCATTAGTTCCAACAATAAACTATTCTAAATCAGTTATTTTGGTATTCTGGGGAGCTTATGCCAAAAGAACTAACTCAATTTTTCATATATCTTAAATTCAAATTAGCAGTTGTCTTCTAGTTATCGTTTCTTAAAGCTGCTTCCAGAAAGAGTTTTTGTTAATTTTCTCCATATTGAATGTCCATATATCTAGAAAATGGTAAATTAAGGCTAAGAATTGCATAATTACTGGCCTAACAATATTTTCAATATTGTTTTAGTTTAGCCTGATGTTTAATTTTGTTTAGTTCCCTATTACCTGCTGTGAAGAGATCTTCCAATGGTAATGCCTAAAAGGCAGAAATTCCCAAAGTCCCAAATTGGAAATTTCATTATGCAGAGAAACCAAAGTAAACAAAGATTTCTTCTCCAGTTACAGAAAAAAAAAGGACTGCAAGATCAATTCTCTGTGGCTAACTGAGCCAAGCCAGCTAATTTAACCTAATAAAGACACATCAGTATGAGCTCTGGTCACTACAATAAAAGCACAGACAATGTATCAGTAACGCCAATAGGAGGAGAACGCTTTCCTTTGATAAGCAGTAAACTACGTCTTTTAAAAAAAATGGTATATTTTTAAAGTATTTGGGATTAGTGGGATATGAACAATTTGTCCAGTCACTTTCATTTTCAAATTACTTTGGAACAAAATTTTAACTGGAAAATTTATGATACAAAAGTGATATTTCCTGACACGTTACTGTGGCTTTGCTTCTCACTGTGTGAAATGTGTAAATTCCCTACTGGTGTTTGACCTGCTTTCCTTTTTTTTTTTTTTTTTTTTTTTTTTTTTGACAGTACTTGCTTGTAAATATTCCATAACTACCTGAAAAATAGAAAGTGGAACTACTTTTACTTGGTAGCTCAGAGCACTAAGGAGAGATAAAACGAAGCAAATGAAATTTGCTTCAAATGGTCAAAAATATCCTGAAGTATTTGACAGGAATTCTATTATCTTTAGAATATGACGGTCAGATAGCTTTTAAAAGATTAAAAAATCAATTGAAGATTTTGAAATACCCCAACATCCTCAGCCAATGTCATCAATTTTTGAATTTTCAAAAAAAGAGAAGTAATTAGTATGTTCTTTTGGAAACAGGACAGACAGTTGCTTATCCACTAATTTCAGGACCCACTTGATTGAAATAGTCTCTTCATTTAACATGTACAGAACATTAGTTTAGAATCTAGTATGGCTTTTTTGTACATAATTCATTAATCCATTACTTTCATTAGGGATCCCACATAACTTGTTTTTTATAATTCGACAAACAATCAATTTTCATTTGACAGAGATAAAGCAGAGAAAATATAGCTTTTTTTTTTTTTTCATTTTTTGGGGGGATGGAACTTGTTTGTATGTTTAGTCTCTTATTGTTTTAAAAAAAAAAAATCCACACCAAGCCAATCCACACACAGAAAAAATTCCATTATGACTGCTTTCTTACTGGACTTTCCTGGCTTAGGCTTGCCATCGACAGCTGTTGTCACACCTCTTCAGCAGACTACCAGAGCCTTTCAGCACCTAAGATTTCCTAAGCAGCTCCAACAAGAGAAGAAAAACTCTGCTTTTCAGGATTTAACAAGGCAGCTAAATCAGCTTGGAATTTTCTAACATTGAGATGTTTCTGTAAGCTCACAGTGTTTTGCTGTTTCTCAGGGACACTGGAAACTGTTACTTAGTAAAAACTGCTCTGCAATTGCTCTGCTGTAATACTGTCTTTCAAATCTGTGATGTAAAACCTGGTTATAGAATTACTGGTTAAATGAATAGAGCACACAAATATATCTGGATTTCTGTAACATCCAACACAGGGTTCCAAAACCTTAATTTTATTTAAAAACTAAATCAGAATGGATAAAGACTTAATCATCTAAGCTAGGAACTGTCTGGAAGTCTAAGAAAAAGAGAATGATGCCGTACAGAGTTGCTGATAAAAGTCTAATGTAACAGAACTCAGGATTTTATCACAGAGCAGCAGCATACTCCATTGAAGTTTCTTTGTTGCCTAGATACACCTAGTAAGGTTTCATAATTCAGACCCTTAAAGAGCAAGCTAGGCTGAAAATATGATTTCCAAGGAAATATGGGGTGCAATAGTTCTTGAAAGGTCTGATGGCAAGTTACAGGAGCAGTAAGCATACAAGCACAGCATATCTCATCATATAATACCTCCACAAAGAAATTACACATTACAGGGAGTGAAATCTCCATGAAGATATACGGAAAACTGCAGTTCTAAGACAGACTACCAAAATACATTATGAAAAAGTTTTTAAAACTGGTGGGGAGATTGAATATTGACAGCGAAAAACTGAAACAACAGCCTGAGTAATTAGAGGTTGTATATTTCACAGTATTTCTACCATCAAATGACTGATGTCCCATACGAGGTGAAGACTTCATTTCTCCTCATAAGCCTGCATGAAGTGACAGACACTGTAAAAAGAGCTTTTTGTGGCTTAGTAGCCACATGAAGAAGAGCTGAATACTGTTAAAAAAGCATGGAAGCTCTCCCTTCCTCATAAGAAATGCTGCTAGAAATCTTGCTGGTTTGGAAAGGCACTATTTTAGCCAGGGAGGATGAAAATAACTACATAATAATTCTTCAGAGTTGAAATAATCACATATGAAACAAAAATTGTTATGTGAAATATCTCTACAGATTTGAGTTAATCTGAAGGGAACACATGAGTTGCTGTGAGAATACAACTATAACATCACAAACCCCTCTGTATAACAAGCACCCTGCTTCATTAACAAAAATGAAGGGGAAACAAACAAATAGACAAAGCATATAACAATTACAAACAGTACAGAATAGAATAGTAAATGCTCCTCAGGACAGTGAAATTAAAACAGTCTGTGGAAATGAAATGGAATTTGGAATTTTGGAATTTGGAAAGTGAAATTATTGAAGAAAAATTCGCATTAAATTCAAAGGAGAAACATCGGAAGCAGTAATAGTGAAAGACCCCTTAGGGAGCTGCAGAACAGAGGCAGTGCTTGTATAGCTAGGTTTGGAATATTTTATCCATTCTGAGCAGGTTTCTTTCTGAAAAATGCTGACAAACATGAGTTCCAGAGAACAGTGTTTGTTTTGTTGTTTTTTTCCATGGACTTCTTTGATGAAAGAATCGTGAAAAGGTGCGCATATATTTTCAGATCAAATGAAGACAGGCATGTCTTTAAATATATTTTTTAGAAGTCTATAAATATTGTAGAATATAACCAGCAAGAACTAAAAGGTATATTCGTCACTGTTTCCAGAGCAGAGGAAAAGAAGTAAAACTATAAGAAAATATCTGCAGGGTTTTCCATGACAGGAAAGAGCTCTTCTATACTTCTCTAAAAGTATTGTCTTAAAATTTCAGAGCTGACAATTATCTGCAGTGGATTTGAACTATTTGTGAATATATGCAGCAACAGCTCGAAGATTTCTAGCATCAGTCTAGCCTAGGTTGACCACCTACTGCTGTTACCTAAGTAAATAAAAATAGTTTTATATGGAGGCTAACAAGACTTGTGAGATACAGGAGAGATGTAGAAGAAAACAGCCGGAAGACTGTTAAGAGATAGGCAAATGAATACTGCAAAAGAATAAATGTAAAAGTAGAGATGACAGGAAACTAAACAGAATGTCTGAATGCATTTTTCCTTTTGTACTGATTGACAGCAATGCAGAAAACATGTTTATGTATCAGAAAGAAACCTAATGATCAAAAATTTATCACATTTAAATATTTGTTAAAAAATACTGTATATTTTCATTAACATCATGTAAAAATTTTGTAAGTATTGTAGTTCCAAGTGGAAAATGTCTGCATCTGGAAATAAAAAAATTCCCCACATAACTTGGAGAATGCGTGATGCCTTGATGTCTGCCCAGCAACATTCATATATCAACAAAAAGTTTATATGAACATTTCCAGTATGGACTGAAATCGTATACTCAAAAACAATATGGAAGATTAAAATAATAAAAAAAAAAAAAAAGAAAAAGAAGTTATAACGACAAAATTAAGCCTCTACTTTTGACCAAGAACTGTCACGATAGTTGAGGGATTACAGCATTCATTAATGACATCAACAAGGGTTTCCTTCAAATTCAGGTATCCACCGACTGTTTTGATTTTAATCTATCCACATTCAGTTCACCGCTTACAGTCATACAGACAGGGAGGCAAAGGATACTCCATCTGCTCAGCTCTACATCCACTACCGGAAACAGAAATCCTAACATCTAACTTGAAAGCGTCTTTTCATCGACTCGCTGGAACCTTTGCAATAAATTCAGGAACCAGAGATACATAATCAAAATCAGATAGCATGAATACTCTTCAAGTCATCTATTTTGTTGCAAGAAAAAAAAATTAAAGAAAAAAAAATTTAATCAATAAAAATAATTTAACTTTAATTATTTGGGCTGCATATACTCTCAGAAATCAACTTTGTCTTGTGCGGTACAATAGCAATTATGTATCAATGATCAGAAAAGAAAGTAGAAAGCTGTGTTTTCTAGCTGAAACTATGGAAAAATTAAGGAGAAGCAGGATATAATCATTTCAATTGAAATACAACCTGATGGACTGCTATCACTAATTTCAGGAAAAACGTTCAAATGCCTTCCCCAATCAGATTCAATTATTAGTATGTTTAAAATCATGCCTTAAGGATGATATCTCACTAGCACTGTGTCATGATTAAATCATTTAAGTAACAGTTCAGTAATGACATGTGAGTATGCTGTACAAACACCATACATGAAAGATAATAAAATCCACTCACTACACAATACATGAGTTTTATTAACTCATTCCTACAATTAGTTTTTCTAGAAGTTTTTTATTGCACATTTGATGTTGACGTTGAATTTTTCCATTCCAAGTTATCTACCTCCTTGACTCAGAACAGATATTTTACTTATAACACGTTTGAAAACTGATTTTCTTCCCTTTAAGCACTTATATCAATGTGCTGTTATTATATAGCATGAGATTAAAAGAGCTAAGATCATTTTTAAAATGGGTCTCTGTAACATCTAATCTAGTCAAACAAATCATCACCACCTGTATTAAATAATTAGTTCGAGTAACAGCAATGAATCAACATAAGGAGAATGCCAGCTATTTTAATGTCAAGTTCTCATTTGTTAATTCCTTGGCCCCAGCACTGCTTGAGAATCTGTAATTCATTGTAAGTAGTTTGAAATGCTTCCTCTGGCACTACTACTCAACTCTGCATAAGTTAGTAAATCAGAAAAATTGGAATAAAAATGGCACCTTTTTACACAGTGCTGGTATACAGTCTTGTAAACCATTATGCTACTTTGCAAGTAAGAGACCGGTGGAATCAATGCAGTTTTCATTTTTGTGTTGCTTTAGCAATGTGAATCACCTGTAAATCCACTTTCACTAGCTAGTATGCTATCAGTTATCTTGTGCTGTCTCCATTTTCTTTTACAGAGATCCTTAGTTTTTAGTTAAGGTTTCTAGTATACAATCTAAAATCATCAGAAATACACAAGCATTTTGCTTACATTTTTCTTTTAGTTACACTAATATTATACAGCAAATAGAAAGCATTTAAATATTCCTAGTGAAAATAAGTTAAACTGCACTCAAGTTTAACAGAACGCTTTTGTAGATAAAGAGGATTGTAAGCCTGTTATGATGGACTAAAAACTACTCTTAAATTGTATGCAATCGTAAACTCACATGAGAACTTAAGTGAAAACTAAATATAATAAATTATAGAAATAAACACTTCAGGCATTGAGTTGTATTTCTGCCCTCCAGTGAACATAAGCATATGAAAAGAGGTATGTGATTTTATAAGTTCAAATTCACCTAAATTAGAGCCACAAATACCAAGTAATTCAATAACAATTATCACTTCATGGCCATAAGGTTATTTGGTTAAGTTTTCTTCACGTAGGTGCTTTGTTTTTTTTTTCCTTACCTGAGCTCCACAGACGTGAAAAATAACTGAATTTCCTGTGCAACATTTACTGATGCAGGTTACCTCCATTTCTGCCCGTTTAGCTTTTTTGATGATGTGGTTTCAAGTGAAGCAATAGCAGTTTTACACAGTTTTTCTCCCCTGTAATCTATCTCCTACTTTCTAACCTATGAAGTTGTCAACACAGAAGCCTTTAAGAGAGAATTAAAGGAAATCTTTCATTTCATTTTTCTTGCATGGGACACAAGAAATGTGATATAGATGTTTTTGCTTAGCAGTGCTGTACTGCAGTGCTAAGGAAAATTATACCAGTGCTATCACAATTCTATTATGTTTCTACTGGAACTGGAAATCCATTTTACTATGTCACATTTTAGTCTGAAAACTCTTTTGGGTCAGAAACCAAGGTCATATTAATTCTCTTGTGTTGTATTCCCTATAGCATATTCTCCTTCCAAATTGTGTATCACCTGATCTGACTAAAGATACTGCCAAGTTAAGTTACAGAGGAAACTTCAGAAAGAATTAACATTCCCACCCCACAAGTCATACATTTCTACATCAAAGGCCATGTTTTTCTTATTCCAGGAGTAACTCACCTCTGGGGTGACATCTCGTGGTGCAAATCCTGTTCCTCCAGTTGTTAAAATCAAATTAAGCTCCTTTTCATCACACCAATCTATCAGCGTCTCCTGAAAGAGAAGATGAAAGCTGCCAGATTTAGCAAGTAATACCTGGGATACATTTACTCAGACAGCATCTAAAGAATTGTCTAGAAAATAAACAGAGAGACACAAAATAAATCAAGGGAATTGTAAAATCAATCGTGGCATTTTCAACAGATACTAAACTGCTATAATAACCATCTTATGGCAGAGTAATACAATCGGTCATAATATTTTTGGAAGTGGAAAGTGGAATTCTGTTCTCCATCTCTTGTTCTAAAATGGAAAACAAGAACTCACGGTTGTTCATTTATATCAGTGTTTGTCTGGATTCTGAGATATAAACACAATTCTTCAACACACATAAGTAGAGTACGTGCATTTAATTCAGGTTATATGCTTGATTTTCACAACAATAACTTTAGTTTCTGTTTTGCTCTACTTTTTAACAGCCTGAACAAAGAAAGAACTGCTTATTTGTAAGTCTGACTATAAGAAGAAGCAATAACACACCTGATACAGCAACCCATATACTGTTTCTCACAACTAACTTTTCTTTATTTCTTATAACATCTCAATAGGACTGCACATGCTGATCCCAAAGCTGGAAAAAGAAAGCTTCAGAGATCTGTCATGTACATTAAATATCTTACACTACCATAGAACTCATAATACTAGAAAAATGTTAAGTTTGATTTGCATTCATTTTTTAAATGACATTTTAACCTACTTTTCAAACTGTGACCAAAAAAAATGTAACATAAGCAGAAAATGTATTTAGCCTCAATGTGATTATATCACTTATCCTTTGTATGCTACAGCAGGCAAGCAAAGCAGCTGAGCCTCTGCTTGGAGCTCCAAATTAACTGATGTGTACCCACATACTACATAGCAGAGTAACCACTGGCAGAAATCAGACTGATTGCTTATACAGCTATCCTCTTCAAGTCAAATGAAGGCAACTGCAGCAACTGAAATTGTTAGTTTTCAACAATACAGATATGCACCAGAAAAGCTGTTGTTGGTTTTGTTTTGTTTTGTTTTTTAACAGATTATATCTTCTCTGAGCTTTTATCATCTAAAGACATATTTATCTTGACTCTCAACATCAGCAAACATCAGGGTACACTTGAGAGAATTTCAGCATAGAAATGTTGTTTAGCAAAGTGAGAGCTTGACTTCATATACATACATATATATATATATTTATTACCATAATCAGAAATAAATTGTGAGAACAAAATAAAACGAGACATAGTGAGGGTTTTATGAAACATTTATTTTTAGATAAAATAAAACCTGACAAAATCCAGCAAGGTTTCAAGTGAAAATAATTCTTTCATCTGTTCTTATACAGCTCAATAGTACTCCAGTTAACAGGAAAAAAAACAACAACAACATTGTGATAGCAAATAGAAAGCTACAGAAATCATTATACACCTTGACTTTTCACATGAACTGAGCATATAATGTGTTTCATTATCCTAGATACAATTATTTACCAAGTTCTACTTTGAGTAAAAAAAGCATAAGCTTTCAGTAAGACTTTTGTCTATAAAGCATTGTTAGTATTTCACTGCATTTTAGAATATGTACCTCTAAGACCTTTTAAAGACATGGAAAAATACCTGAGACTGATATTCAGTTTATTTCTCTCTACCCCATAAAATTTTATTCTACAAAATGTTCTCATTTATATTTTGAATATAAAAAAAAAAAGCACTACTCTGATCAATCAAGGAAAAAAGGCTACTTGTGTTCACTTGCCTGCTGCTAGAAGTCCAGCCATATATACCACTTGCTTTTCACAGACACCAATTTACTATGTTTTCACATGAGAATTCCTTCAGATCGCTGATATGATACTTGACTTGATTGATGCTTTACAAACAAAATTGTTGTATAGCAATTTGTGCATTAAGATACTCTAGATCCAAAATCCAAGGCCATGGGATACAATCCTATTGTACCACATGTTAGCTAACATTACGACTGACTTCAGTCAAGTAACAGCTACATGACTTTCAGACATATATTCTTTAGTGAAGCATCTCAATGTCCAAAATGCAGAACAGTCATTAGACTGAATTGCTGTATAGCAGGCGAGTCACAGAATCTTGCCCCGTGCCTTCTGTGTTTAAAACATTTTAAAATATTCTGGGACTCAAGCACATCTTTCACAAAATTAACCAGCCTTGATCAGAATTAGATAAGAGACTAAAAGACCATATAATGTATTTTCAACAGTTACTCACGTTTTTCATTAAGTGTTTGCTATATTTATAGTAACTGTTTCTTTTTCATTATACCTGATGGACCCCTTCACAATACTTAAGAACTCTGCTTACAGAATTCTCAACAGGATGGCTAGAAAGTGGATTTTTTTTTCCAAAATCCATTAAGTGCCACTCTGTAATATCTGCAAATAAATGAACAGAATAAACAAATAGGGATTACAAAGGCCCTACATGAAAATTCTGTATTTCTCCAACCTTCTGAAACCCACTTGCTTTGTAAAATTATGTATCTTCTTTCTTCACAAATAAATCCTGTTTATTAGGATAATACACTAAGAAAGTTTATTTGAAAATCCAAGCAAAAAATACATATCTTTTAAATAAACGTTCCTAACCACGTAAGTTATTTACAGTATGCCCTTAAAGCTGTGCTTACTCTCCTTAGCAATCCACATCAAGAAATAAAAGTTGTACAAAATGACACAGTGAATATTACCTTAATTTTCTGTTACTATGATATTGCATCTTCCAAATGAAGAAATTAGCATGAATAAAAACATGGAAAAAATATATCAATACAGAGAAACTCTGCACCGTGGCAAATTTGGTAAGAAAACTGGATGCAATTTTGACTGCTGAGTTTCAGCAACTCAGAAACTGACAGACTAGAATCTTTTAAGAAATTCTGATTGGTCCTGTGGCTTGGACTACCCCAGACTCCAACTCAAGACTGATATCATAAGAGAGCACATGCAATTCTTCGTGGATCAGAAACAAAACACACAAATTCAAAGCAGAAGAATAAAGAAAAGGTTAAAAGAGCCTTAAAAATGTTAAGTTACTCTTTGAATTAATTTCATTTTTTCTACCCTTTTTCTTGTGAAGATTCTATTTTTTATGCTCACGACTTTTCACTTATTTCTTGAAAGCTTCACTGAAAAGTAGATGTATGAAGATACTCCTATGTGTGGAGCAATAACTTCGCAAATAATCAATCTTAAAATGATTTAAGAATGTCAGAAAATGAAATACTGAAATACCATGAAAATACACTACACATTTTCTGGAACCTCCCCACCCTTTCTTTTCTTACCCCATTAACAAAGGCATAAATTAATATAAATAGTAGGACTGTTTTTACAGCATAATTTTTGTAGTCAAAAGACTTGGGTAACACTGAACTATGTATTTCAAAGTCTGTAAACAGACCTTTTCACCTTTTGATATTTTGCTGACCATTGTAGTCTTTTGAAAATATATTTGCAGTTTTCAGCGTCACAGTCAATGTTTTGTTTAGTATTGCTTTCTAAATAAGCTAACATCAGACAGAAAGCAGTAAAAGTACAACTATTCTACTGAAATGAAAAGCTAAAGGAAAAAATGTAAATGTCATTAAAAATGTACCTTATAAAAGGTTTACTTTTTTAAAATGGAAATATAATGGTAGGCATTTTTCATTACGAAATAAATTGCAGCTATCAAAAACTTCAAGGTACAACATACATATGAAGCCTGTAATGTAACTATTTTTAAAAGCTACTGCTCATTATAATTATTCCTAAAATGAGGATAAAAAAAAGAAGGGACTGTAGTGCAATGTTGAACAGAGCTCACCAATGCAAATGTGAAAGTAAACCAAAGAGATGCGCAAACACTGAAGTTTTTGCCCATCAAACCACTGGGAGTGACAACACTTTTTGAGGACTGAGACCAGGAAAAGAAATTTCAAACTATTTCAGTGGAGAAAGACATTGTAGATCCATGCAAGATTGACTCCAGCATGACACATTGAAAAACTGCAATTCTGTTATCTGATTTGCTCTCAGAAAAGTGAAATTCTTAATTCAGACTAATTCAGTGAAATATCAGTCATTCTACAAACAAAACCTGTGATTTGTTGGTATGCTGTATCAGATTGAATTAAAATCTAGAAGAGGGTGTAGATCAATTGCAAACATCAGTTAACAAATACTCTATGGTTCAAGAACTACCGGCTTCCTTCTGTAAGAAAATCTGCTTCCATCTACAGTTAGTACTGCTGGAATTCCCCTTAAGTGGATACTGCTCTCTGGAAATGATGACTGCTCACTGGAAAGGATCTGACAACTCCCTTGTAACAGTTTTTCTCAGGTGTCGTGATGAAAGAGCGGGACTTAGAGGTGTCAGAAGAGCTAGATCTTTTGCAAGCACATCTAGCATTTGAAGCTACTTTCATGTCTACTCTGAATTTGGCAGATATATACATTCATGTGGGCATACATACACAGATGCTCATCTTTACATAATAAAAATTTACTAGCAAAAACAGTAAAGTTAAATGCATTTCATTTTTGTTAGGTGTAAAGACCTCCCTCTAAAATGTTTAATAAGTAATAAATATTACTGAATTTATAAATACTCAAGTATCTTTGTTAAGACCACTTAAAAACTAAATTAAAAAAATGCCTCCTTGCAAATATTACTCTTCCCTCTCTGGTTATTCCTATAACAATACAAGTTAATACAGCAATTGGAATAAAAAGAAAAGGGTAAAAGCATATAAGAGTGATATAAATTCAAAACTGCTCACATGAACGGGAAAGAGAAAAAAAATCAAAACTTTTCTCTCTTAACAGCACTAGGACTTACTATAAGATACAAATGGTTGGCTTTTGATAAATCTCTCATTAATCATGCAGAACAAGATGGCTTTTTCCATACTTTCCCTCTGCATACATTTATATTTATTTAAGATTGTTTAAGACTGTGTTCTTCTGATTTTCTTCCCAGAATGTGAAAAGGTAAGTTGAT